AGCGTTTCCCAAGGGCGGAGGCTCGATGGCCCCGTATGTGACGGTTAGGCGGCGCGCGTATCGGAAAATGTCCGATCGACGGTCAAGTGTTGTTGCCAATCCGGCGCCGCCAAACGTTTCCAAGCACACCGCCTGACCCGCTGCAGTGATGTAGCCGTCTTCCCCAACCAAATGACGGACGACCCATCCAAGGTGGATCAACGTGCTGGATGGGAGAGTGGCGGCCTCGGCTAGTGCTGTTTCAGGCAGCGCTTCATGATTGTGGATGGCTGCTGCGATGAGCGCCTCCGTTAGGGCGGCCACCGGGACAGGGGCTGAGGCGGCAAGGGCACGACGGGCCTCTTCCCACCATGGGGCGGCTCGCGGGTCGGCACGCCACTGGGCGAGTGCTCCATCAGTGAGTGCGCCGAGCGCGGCATGCAGCAGCGGCACGTACAGCCAAGAGTTTGTCGGGCTGCGGACTTCCGCGGGCGGCCCGCGGCCATACCACACATAAAGTTCCCGGATGCGCTCAGGGGCCGCCACAACGTAGGTATCATCGAGGTACGCGAACACGGCTTCCCCTTCGTGCAGCGTCGACGGACAGAACCGTCATGCGCGGATCGATCTCAGTGGCCAGACGCAAGACACGGGCCAGGGTTTCGGTGCCAACCCGCGTGCTCAGCCCTGGTATGGCAGGCACGCTTGCGGCAACTGTGACGCAACGGTCTGCGAAAGGACCCGGCCCACAAGGCGCGTCAGCACGTCTCCAACGATTAAGGCACGTACCCCTCCCCCCGGCTTACGCAGGGCCACGACACGGCCGACCCGAAGTGCAGCAAGTGCATCAGGCGGGACATTTGCTTGTGCGAAGCGCTCCGCAACATTATGGAGGAGCTGGCTATCCTCCACCTCATCGAGGAGGATTCTTACGTGTTCGTTCGTCATACCAGAAGGGCAAGCAGCAGCACCCCGACGAGCGGTGCGCAATGCTGCAAGGAACGCCGTGATGGGGAACGCAATTGCATCAGCTGGCTTGTAGTTGAGGACATCAGGGCTGATGGGCGCATATGGGGCATTTGGTCGGCGCGCAGGGTCGCAGAGCTGCTGAAGGGTGTCTTCATTGCCCGGCGCAAGCGGCTCCGAGACCAGCGCGTGTCCCACAGCCGAAAACTCGCCAATGTGGACGAGGGCGGAAGCGCGCGCAGCCCTTGCGGCTTGTTGGAGCAACTGTTGCCACAAGCCCTGGCTAAAGAGATCACATCGGCTCTGAAGTTCTTCGGGGCTGATGCGTGCAGTGCCTGGTTCCCTGTGCAAAAGCATTCGCGGCGCAAGCATGAAAAGCTTCCATCCCTTAAGCTCCTCCTCAGGGGAGGAGCGTTCCGCAGCGAGCCGCAGGCCAGCGCGCAGAGCGGTCCGTAGGGTCAGCATGCCGCCCGCGGCCCCGCCTTCCCCGGCGGCCGCGGCCCTGGCCCCCGCGCTGTGTTGTTGCCCGCACGGGCGGCGACTGTGGCAATGGTGCGCGCCGCGCATTCATTGTGTGGCGGTCCGTCAGGTTGAGTGCTGGCCTGGGACCGCGGCGTGCTGGGTTGGGAGACATTGGCACGGCCAGCTGGCGGAACGATTGGGTCAATGGGTGCCGGCGATGTGTTATTCCGCCCGGGCGGAGGTGAAACGCCTGTTACGGATTGCGCCGTGTCACCGTCTAGTATTGGGGGGCCGCCACCCGCGGGAAGGCGCGGCACGGGCTCTTCACCCCAATGGAGGTGCAATCGCGGGCGTGCAGGCACGGGCTCATGTGGGGGCGGTGGCGGGCTGTCAGCAAACGAGGGGTTGCCGGACTGTGGGGCGTCCGGCTTTGCTTCGCCAGCCACATGAAGGCCAAGCCGCGGGGCCGCGGCCGGGTCCTGCTGCGTTTCGTCCAGCCGCCGCGCAAGTGCGAGGGCCTCAGCTTTGCCCAGCAGGGTTGCAAGTAGCACCTCCTGCAAAGGGCCAGGCAGGTAATGCCCGTCTGCCGGCCGGGCCAGGTCTTGCATTAGGGCTAACAAGGAAGTGATACCGGCAGCATGTCCAATGCACCACTCGAAGAAGGGTGCAAGGAGTGGACGTGCATAGCCGCTAGTGGCGAGGACATGTTCAACAGCCGTTTGGAGGTTCCGTACGGTGAGGAAGGGGCGTGCCAGCAGTGCGCTTACCGCCCCTTCCCACCAGCGCCCAAACACCGGGTGCGCACGCCAAGCTGCACGGGCTTCTGCGTGGAGCAAACCAGCAGCATCAAGCAAGAGTGGCATGTACACACAGGAATAGATGGCCTGCCTCAGCGGCAGCGATGGGGGTCCTGCCATGCACCGTATTGGGATTGTTCAGGCCAAAAACCAACCTGAACAACAAGAGCAAAGAACGTCGTGTTGAAAAACATTTTTTGGCCACAAATTTAGTCATTGCCAAAACCTTCGCATACAATATACCGATTTGGCTTATCAGCTTGGATTTTGTTTTTTTTACGCGCCTCTTTGCAAACAGTTACCGCGGTCCCAGTGCAGAAAGCTCACGGGCGGAGTGAGCAACACGGAGGCTTCCGAAATCCACAAATCCACCGGCAGGGCCCATCAGGGCATGCGGCTAGCGAGAGGAGGGATTTCAGACGAGTCCGCGAGGAGATAGCTTGGATTTGTCCGACGCTGTTGATCGGGTTAACAGGTGTTTTGTTTCTTTTATGTTTTCTTTTTCTGTTTTCTTTTTTGGGGTTGCTTTGGTCATTTGGATTCTACAAAGCCTGTACCAGGACCAGATAAGCCATCAGGGGCGTGTCAGCGGCTTGTAAGGGGCGTGTCAGTGGCGTGTCAAGGGCGGTCAGGGGCGCGTCACAGGCGTGTCAGGAGCGTGTCAGGGGCGTGTTAGGGGCGTGTCTGGCGCGCGTCAGGGGCGTGTCAGGGGCGTGCCAGGGGCGCATCAGGGGCGTTTCAGGGGCGCATCAGGGGCGTGTAGGGGCGTGTCAGGGGCGCGTCAGGGGCGTTTCAGGGGCGTTTCAGGGGCGTGTCTAGGGCGTGTCAGGGGCGTGTTAAGGGCGCGTCAGGGGCGTGTTAAAGGCGTGTCAGGCGCCCACCAGGGGCGTCAGGGGAGGTTTGGTGCGTGCAAATGACGTGGTACGTGGGTTGTTTACCCTGCGTGGAATGGAAGAATAATCGGTTGTTATTCCAGTCGTCTGCTTTGGGCCACGTTCTCGCAAAAACTATCATCACTTGACTGTGAACGGCAGGTTTGCTCTCTCTCTCTCTCTCTCTGCTTGGTCCACAGCTTGGCTTCCTTGTCGGCCTGCGGTGGCATGAGACGTCTCATCATTGGAATCAACGAATGCGTGATTGCCAACAATGGTTCCACTTGCAACGCCTGGCCGAGACATATTCTGTGTATCATTAAAGGTGTGCCAACTAGGTGGGTTGTGTACCATCCAGCGGACGGATCAACATCGTGCTGCTCTCCTAGCAGTTGTGCATCAATGTTGTCCGGGTAATATTCTCCTCCTAGCCTGCCTGCACCCCAGAGTGTCCCCCAGCCGGCATGAAGGTCTCATTGATTCTTTCGCACGCATGGAGACCGCAAGGGACCACGGGTAGTGGTATTGATTGGGACTGCATAATGTTCATGGCGCACATGTGGGATGCCATTGATGATGCAGATGCGTGTGGGCACACGGCCAATTTGGTGTGGACATGTTGGCTCCGCAGTTTCGCGCTAGCACGCGGCCAACCGCCACACCGCTGATGCCACGACCACCCTCGCGCGACATGATGCGTCTCGATTTGCGGTGCTGTTTGAAAATTCCGCCCCATCACACGAGCATGAAGCGGTTGGCATGGCTGGTATGATTTTTGCGGAATGATCGATGCACTGGGTGTCCACCCCCATTCTTGCCCTCGCATAGGCTTGCGTTCGTGGTTGGAAACAGGACGAAGCGGGCAAAGGTCCAACAAACAATTGGGCCAGAGGGCTGGGCCGTTCCGTCACGTTGCTTGGCCAACACCACGCGTGACCACGTGGTTCATGGTGCTGCAAAGCCCGCCTTGATTTGCAGTGCCTGCGCACGCAGCAGATTCCTGGCATGGCGCTGCAAGCGAAAAGCGCTACCTTGAGCTCGGCCGTGCTGGGCCGGTGTTGGAGCGATGAGGCCCGGCACCATGAACGTTCACGACGTTATTCGCCTCGCTCTGCCATCCCTAGCTCTGCGCCTCGCGGATTCACCACCGAAATGTTGCTGCCCCAGCACCGGGCACAGGTGGGGATGGCTCTTGGTGCTCAGGCCGCTCACGCTTGGACAATGAGTCAACAGCACTGGTTTGAACTAAAGGTAACGAATGCGTGTCACGGGGCTCGCCGTAATGACACGACTGCGTCGGCTGACGTATGGGCACCGAATCACAAAGTACCCGTCTCCTGACAAACGTGAGCGATGGCAACGGCAGGCGCGGCTATCCCCATACGTAGCAATCGACACGGCAAGACCAAGTGGCGGGATTCGCAAGCGGCGTATGGGGAAAACGTGGGATTGCCGGCTTGGGGCATCATCCCCAATTGGGAAAAGTGCAAGTGCGAGCGCGCGTCGTATATGGGGCGAAACAGAGGAAGAATCAGCAAAGCGAATTTCCGGCGCGTGCTCGACACAAGCACAGGCAACCGGCATGGCTTATCAACAATCCACGCACGGAAAAAGCTGTCAGCAATTCCTTCCCAGCAAAACCTCAGATCCCTGCCGGCCGCTGTGACCCATGACGGCGACTTCTGAACGGCCGCTGTGGGTAAATCAGCGTGAGGCTGTCGGGTAAGCTGGGTAACAGGCAACGGCTGCAACATGCATCACGTAATACTTGCCTAGCCCTGAGGCCACGACGTTCCAAAGCGTGCCTGCGGCAAAGAGGTGGCCGGCATCTTTCCCTGCACGTCGTCAAACTTGCTGGCGGGTGTTTCGTTCCATTGCAACTGAATCAAATTTACGATCGAGAAATATCCTTTCCAAAACGAAGCATCACTCGAAACGCGCACTCGGACGGAGCTTTTTTCTTGCAAAGAACATGGGGAAGTCAACGAGGCTGGAGTTGCGACGCACCCGTACATCAGGCACAAGTTAAGCAATCCATCAAAAGCAGATGGCATCACAATCCTGCAAAATAAAGTTGCGGAAATATCCCAAACGCCCCGTAGGTGCATGACGGAGAAAAAAAAATTGCAGAACCGATTAGCAGGCTGGCCTTGTTTTCTTATTGCAGGCTTGTTCAATATCATTCCTTTTGGAAAAATATCAGTCTTCATGGAACATACCGAGCCGTCAGGGAGTACCTTCCAGGACAGCAGCAGGTCCAATTGGGGCCATTACAGGCCTGGATGGAGCTCCCCACCTCCGCAGCCCAAAAGTCCGCCTTCTCCTCCCAGCGGACCAAGCCCCTCAAGCACTAGCGGGCGGGCCCCTCCAGCTCCAGCGGGGGCGTTCCGCCTGGATACTCAGATCCCGGCTGGAAAGCACCTCCTGACTTTGGCACGGCAACAGGGGCCCAAGTTATCGATCCAACAACAGTGCATATGCGGACCCTCCGTCCTGGAAAGAAGGTAGGACAGGCCGTCCTATGAGGAGATGCAGAATTTGTGGGCTGATGTCCTATGCCGGTGACGGGTGGTGCAACGTTTGTGGCAGAACGAAGCCGGTCCGAACCCAGGCGGCACCTCCTCCAGGCCCAACGCCGGGATCCCCGGGCCGGAAGGACCGAGACCGACCACACCCAAAGAAGCCGCCACTGGAAGTGCACCTTCCGAGGGGCCGAAACCGGCCGCATCTCAACTGCGGATCCCCCCTTCTCCAACTTTATGCGGTGGCATTGCAACAGCTGCGGTAAACCCAATGCATGCGCCGTATGAAGTGCAATGTCTTGCTGCTATCCCCAGGAGGCCAGCGACAACCGCTTCGAACCCGCTACCTCCCATACGGTACCGCCCTCCCAGAGCACCTTTGACGCTTCCAACAATGTGGCGGGCTCAAAGGTTGCCTACAAGACGCCGCCTCCACACGACCCGACCCAGGTTCCCAGAGCAGCCTCCAAGCCAGTCTACAAGGCTCCTCCCGGAGGCTCAGTCCCAACCGGTCTATCAAGTCCAACCCTTTCTTCTCCAAGCCGGAGGTTATTGGGGAGGCCCATTCTTTGCACGACNNGCAGGCTCAAAATCAGCTCCCCTTTCAGGTGGTCTTGGCTGAGCAGCTGAAGGAGCTGCAGCGGAAGAGAAACGAGGCGAAGACAGTGATCAAGAACCTGAAGAAGCAGGAACGAGCTGCTCTTCGAAGGAAGAACAGACTTGTTAAGGCGCCTGGCTGTGTGACTGCATTTCGCTGATGCTGCGGTCTCTAGGTTTAACAGGCTTGACCTAACGGTAGCACGTCTCCCTCTGCTTCAA